CTATATTAAAACAATTGATTAAAAAAAACTTTTCTCCGTAAAAGTCGTGAAACTTGACTAACAATGTAGATGGCATAGTCAAAGGCCAAACTAAATAAATCTTTAGTATAATTTGAAATAAACAGTTTTAGCAGTTTGACTGATTTCTGGACAGACTATTAGGGCCAGGATTTTTATTTTTTTTTAATAGGAGAATAAAGTCGTAATATTATGAGAATAAAGTTTTATATTACAAGAATAAAATCGTAACAGTAAGAGAATAAAGTCGCAACATTAGGAGAATAAAATCTGCTACATCTTCACATAAACCCACCGACTGAGAAATGTTGTGTAGTTGCATAAAAAGGTGAACTCTGTTCTATAAAAGAGTGAACTCCTGTCCTCGGTTTATTCACGGGGACATCCAGGGAGCCGTACGATCCTAAATGTGCTGCTGTGATTACAATTGTAAGGCTATGACCTCATGTCAGAGGCTCCATTCAGACTGTGATGTCTCTTTAAGAAGCTCACAGTCCTGTTAATGTTTTGGCATGTTGAGTTCTAGCTAAACAGAAATGGACTAAAGGCACTTCATAGCTGTCTAGTGTAAAAGAACTTTGCTTTCTATTAAATTCATGTGGAGCAATTAACAATGCTTTTCTTAGCCACTTAAAGAAAAGGTTCACTTTAATCCATTTCAACATAAGTTTAATATGAGAATTTTTTTTTTTTTTCCCCAAAACAAGCAACTTTTTTTCAGTATCACCTAAACTACATGCTGAGAATCTGTGATAAAATTTTTGTGATGAGAATAAGCCCATATAAAACAAAACATGACTCTTAAACCAAGGATGCATTAACTCCTCGACTGGCTCCCAAGTTGGAGAAATACACTTTTATTGTAAAACCTCATGTTTGCAGCAGCATAACATGAAAGCACATGAGAGATTGATAAATATGTACCGCTGCTGCTAAGTTTTACGCAACTCAAAGCTTAACCTGCTGGAGGACATGGAGGACTCCTTTTTAGAATTCAGATTTATTCAAATTCTGTTCTCCAATTTTATATATTTGTTAGTTCAACCCCTAACTTGATGTTCTTTTTGCTAATAACAGATTAATCTGGTGCACTGATTGCCTGTGACCCCATCCTGGATGTGGGCATCAACATCTCTGAATACAGATAAAGATAGAGTTTGATGGCCTGTTTTTCAATGTTTAGTCCTGTTTCTCTCCTATACATAGCTTTGGGAACAGTTGAGCTCTCGTTGACCTTTTCTGACTTGAAAACCAATTCAGAGCTTTTCTCGTTAACTGCTTCAAACCGGCAATCATGCAGCCTGTTGCGATATTTTCATGGTGAGCCAAAAGATCTAACATTTTGTGCTCTGATTTTTTAAATTTTCTTATACATTTGTTTTTTACTTCATATAACAATTAATAAGTGAAGAACAGTGGTTTGTAAGTACATTATACAGTAGAAAACAAATAGAAATAGTAAAAGTTGGTATATGAAAAAGGAGGAGAAAAAAAAACCCACTTGAAAGCTGTTCAATAACACATTTTGTTATCAGTATAGGCAGAAAAACGGACCTTTTATTTTACACACACATTTGCCCCTCATGGGGTTAATGCAGCCAATAAGGGAAAACAGGTTGATGATGATTGTTGTTTTAGGACCATTCCTTCCTTTGATAGATTTACATTTTTTTTTATATATTTAAAACATTTGAAATGCTACTGTATCCGTTTATTTACAGTGAATTAAGATGCCCTGATAAGGTTTTATTGTGTTTTATTGACTCTATTTCTTTTTCCTCTCCCCTCTCTTCATTTGTTAATTCCTGGGTTCCATCCCTCTTTTATTGGTTCCATCCTTCTCCCAATTCCAAACCTTTGCCCCATTTTATCTCTAGCCAACATTGGAGCCTAAACTGAAGGTATGTTTTTGTAACGCTTTAGGGCATTTAAGGCTTTATTACTAGCTTTATATCAACACTGACTTTAAAACCCTTAACGTTTCTTCATAACAAATAGAGTCCATGTTAATTAAGTATACATTTGTGGTTTGATTTTTGCTTTATCAGTGGTTTCTTTAATTAATTTAATGCAGCTTTATGCTCCATTTTATATTTAAATGTCCAGCATTAAGCTATTCTAAATTGTGTTTTCTATTTTTGTTTTCTTTATTAGTTTCCACCCTATTGCTGCTCTTTTCTAAGCTGCTGCTGCTTGTAGTGACTGTTGTCCCTGAGTCATTTTTCACCTTCAAATCAATCAGGATTGTTGCTGCTTTCCACCATATCTGGACTGTGTTATTGTCTGTGACTGTAACTGATGAACCAGGGCCTCTGTAAACGTGCATATGTGGTCTGTTGTATAACTCCATAATGATGATGCTGCTGACATGAGGATTCGGGTTCATGTGCCATCTTTATGCTAAATGTAAATGAGACCTTCATGCTGGCTGACTGGTGTGCGTTTCAGGGGATGAAAATAAATGTTACTCAACATGAAACACAAAAGAAGCGGCTCCATAACCCAGTGGTACCGCTGCTCTCTGGGGTTCTGGTCAAACGATTCTTTAAGAATCATTTCTAATTCTGATGTGTGCAATATCTAGCCATAATCCTGGTAAATCTATGGCATCTGCAAGACATCAACAAATCAACACTGGTATATATATATTTTTTTGAATGCTTGTGCTTCTGTTTACATTTCAATCATTTTCTGTATATTACATGATCATCTTTACATTTAAGGCTGCTTATATGGATTCTGTGCATCCAAATACACTGTTTGTGCTAGGCTAACACTGGCATGTTTGCTCTAAGTTTTAATATGACTTGTTGAATGCTAATCTAATACAGTTGTTTCCTGATGTTCACAAAGACTGGGTTAAAAAAAACAAACTTTTCTAAGTATTTTCTGGCATTAAAGGTTGGTGAACTTTCCATGTTTTAGGTCACTTTGTATTACCGAAACGGTTTCTCCAGATTCACCCTCTCATTATTCAGCCATTCATCAAACAGAAACTGTTTTTTTTCCTCAAACAAGAAAAAAAAAATCTAAAATCTTAAATTGAGAGCATCTGGTGTTTGTTGACAAATGCATAAAAAGATGCTAGGCAGTTATGATCTGAAGAGTGATTCCGGTGAATTATGCCCTAGCAAAGCTCAAAGTAAAAATAGTTTAGGTTTACGAGTTCTTTACTTTTAAAAAGTAAATGCGAATTCATGAAAAGTGCTTCAGCTGCACTCTAGAGCAGCTTTGGATATGTAGGCGCAGATAGGAAAGGTTTATATGACACAAACGGATTAGAGACTGTAGCATCCAATGCAATCTCTCTCTTTTTTTTTATTATGAAGGCTAAAGATATGTTAATTATGAAAAAAATCTAAGCAAAGTGTCATTTATCAGATATTGCAGTTTTTCAAACAATAAACATATGATCTGGGAATTCCAGTACAGGACCCCAAACTTATGGCTGTGATTAGTCGGCACATTTCATTCCTTTAATTTCTAAACACCATGTTAAAGCCAGCTGGTATTTTGGAACACTGTTTAGAATGAAAGCTGGTATTTACAAGTTCTGATAAGTAAATACAAACCCCAGATGAAAGCAGGAGCTACAATCGCTCATTCAAGCTAGATTTATAAACACCACCTGGAGATATTCAATGACCCAACAGTGTTTATGAACATTGTCACCAGCGGCGTTTATAAATTAGCCAAAGGATTTCAAGTTTTTCCCTATTGAAATATTAGCGACGTTACTTAACGTTACTTTAGATCTTATTACAGTGTTATTAATAAGGAAGTGTAGTTCCTTCAAAGGTTTGATTGAAGTTTATACTGAGTGAAAGTGAAATGTGTAATATTGATATTGCCTTCTGCTGCTTATGAATGTGTCATTGCAATTGAACTTTTTCTGTAGAAAAAATTCTATTTAATAATGCTTTAACCCTTTATTGGGCAAGTTACCATTTCTGATCACTTACAAATGGATCCCCTCTGTCCCTCAGGGAGGTGTAGAAACACAAGATCTATATCCAGCCATTCAGCAAAGATACTTCTACATGGCTGTACATCTTATTTTGACATTTGACCAATTAGATGAGCCCTTGGATGATATATTACCTACTGGATATTAACTTAAAAAAGGTAAAAAGTTAAAAAGGCAAGAAAAAAGGTAAAAAGTTAGTTACAAGTCAAGGAAAAAAGTTTATTAAAAAGTAAAAAAATAAAGTTAAAAAATTAATAAGCCTAGTTAACAATTATATTTATGTTTATAAACTAAAACATGTAAGTGCCAGTATCTGCATTAATGCCTCTAAGGTTATGTTGTACCAAAAAAAGTTGTTTTTCCCGAATTTCGTGTAAAAACACTTTTTTATTTATTTTTTTTTATATATTCAGGCAAGTTGGTGTTTCTTGTTATTGCACTGACATTAATTTTTGCATCACCAAATGTTACAAAGGTAATAAGGTCTTGCCCTGGATTATAATAACACTATTGGCTTTAAACGTGGACTTTCAAGGGATTTCACTGATTGCCCTATAAAGGGTTAACAACATTTGTTATATTTTAACTAAGGCAATTACAGTGATCTGTTTATCTGTTCCATGAAAGTGACGGAAGAGTCACTGAAAGCACAATTTCCTCAAATTAAAACATCTTCTACTCTTCAATAATCTTTCAGCCATGGTTTGGTTTTATGATTATCTATGTTATCAGAGCAAGCCACTATAATCTGGCTTCCTGATAGGAAAATCAGCCATACTGAACAGCAGATGTTTTTTAAGTTATGACAGTGCATGAAAGCTCTAGTCTCTGGTTAAATACTGGAGACACAAAACTTGTTGCATACGGACACTTAGAAATAACAGCTACAATCTTGGAGATCCTTCAAGGTTTTTTTTTCTTGGCTGTAAATATAATGGATGTTCTGTTTTTTAAAATTAATTTCTTATTTTGTCTTTGTCGTAGATCTGACATCTCAATTTCTGTTTCCCTCTAGGACTCGAACAGCGCCCCAAATTTGGGGACCCTCAAAGTTGACCCAGAGGGATTTTTCCTATCCTGGATTCCAGGGGCCGGCCTGGTAAGAAAGCCTAGATGTTGATTTCACACTTGCTCTCTTGGAAAAAAACAAAAAAACAAAACAAAAAGCAAATAAGATGAATCAGAAATCTGCTGCAATAGGTTTTTAATGTACCAACATGAGGCTTAATGGGAGAAAAACATTTACTTGTCCACTTTAACACCACTTTATGACCATACACCATCTCCATCTAAATCGTTTTATCTTTGCTAACTGCTTTTCCTCATCTTAGCTCCTTGAAATTCCCATATTGCGGTTTTCCTGTCCATTAGCTCTACCAAAATTGGTCTCTTCAGTGTGTTGTGGTTTTGCGTTGATGTCTTCTTCTCTTCCCTTCCGCCTCCTCCCTCATGTCTTTGTGGTCTTTATCAGTCCCGTCTCCCTTTCCTTCTATCATCACCACTTCCGTACATCCATCCTCCCCTTCATATCTTTATTTGGCTGCATTTGTTTTCTCCATTAGTGCAGTCATATTAGATCTTACATTTTGGGCATTTAGCTGATGTAATTGTTCAAATGCAATAAGCAGCAGGTCTGTAAGATGCTGTATTTCAACAATTTAGCCATGGCTGTGCTGCAGACATGAAATTGTAAGAACTAAGTTGGTGTAATCCTATAGTTTGATGAGTTAGGCTTCCTTTCAAGCAATAAGCAGTTTTTGTTCTTTCTCTTTATTTTATCAAACTAAAATACAAAACATTTTTTTTGCTTTCCTTTAGAAAAAGTCAAAACAAAATGGCTAACATATTTGCATTTTTAGAATTAGTGAATAAACTTTTCTTCCTAATAGTGAACAATTAAGGAGTTTTTCCTCCTAGTGTTAAACTCCAACTGTAAAATAAAGATGCTCTATCCAATGTTGTAGTTTTACCTGGTTTAAATTCTGTTAAGTTTCTTCTTTAAGGAACATTTTGCAATCATTTATAATCGACCGATAAATCGATTAGCAAAATAATTTCTTAGTTTTTGCCCTATTGTAATATGAATAGGAAGTGACTAATGCTGGATAAAATACTTAAGGATTAAAGCATAATTCTAACAAATTAAATGGAAGTGTTGCAAGTGCCATCTTTGTAGGGAAGTCCAGCGCCAGGTAATGGAGTTTGTTTTGCATGAATTAAAGAAACTGGAGCAGATTGTTGCCGTTTTCGAAGGCAGATTTTTGTGGTTGATGTTTCCAAGCCAGACTTTCTAACATTCAGAACTCAACTCCATTTGTGGTCCATCTGTTTCTATGAGTTGGGGGATGCAGTTGAAGCTGTGCTTTGCAGAACTGTCTGCATGCTTAAAATATCTTTTTTCCAAACATGAATTTACAACATTGCGGTTTTTTTTTTTTTTTTGGTAATTAGACGTACTGAGCCATTTCTTAAGCACTTTCACTTACCAACCTGACGATTAGCGACCGGATATGTGACCTCACATTGGAGCTATTACAGTTTTAGAATATGGTGAACTGCTTATTTTACAACTTCCTCGTGGATAAAGATACATTTAGTAAGTTTTTACTGAAAAATACTCCTTTTATTTGACCCTTTAGGACTAAAACATTGTTTTATGTGCAGACGGACACCTCAGTAGTTCAGCGCTGATGCATCTATCAGACTTTTGCCTTTTTTTCCTTAATTTACTTTGGCTCAGAAGTTACAGCGATGTTCTTGCAGATATGACGTCAAGTGCGTCCATGTTAAATGGGTCCAATCTAACAGTCGAAGCATTATATTCAATATAAATTTTATAGATAATCAGAAGTGACCCACATCCAGCTCAACTCAAACTCCAATAACGGCTCCATGTAAGGAAAAAAAAAAAAAGAAAATATACCCTCACCTTGTCAAGTAAGAGCATGCACTACTACTAGAATGTTATGGGCAGAACAGTGCTGCAGTTTTGTATTTTGGCCACAGGTGGCAGTATAATATACCTACAGTATTTAAATAAAAACCTATGCAGTACAATCAACTTTAAATATTAGCATAAATACTGAAAATTAATAAAAGTACAACAGATGATGTAACATTCCTGCAGACAGTTTCTACATCAATGTGTTGGTGTTATTGCTGCCTTTTGGCCAGGACTGCTTTGTAAAAGAGTCTTAAATTTCAATCACATGGGTAGAATAAAAAATGGCAGCTTCTGCTGTTTAGGAGCGGTGCTGCAAGTAACTTTCCAAAAAAAAACAATCCACTGGAGTTGGTTTCGAAGTTTAAATACGTTTTGCTTCCCATCCAGGAAGCTTTTTCAGTTGAACTGAGAAAGCTTCCTAGATGTGAAGCGAAACTTCTTCAAACTTGGAAACAAATAATATGCTCTCCACTATAATCTTCACCAGCATATTGCAAGTAACTTAGTGACAATGCAAGTTTTAGCTTCGCATCATTCGTGTCAGAACTTGCTAGTTGCATGATAAAATTATTTATCATCTCATTTTGCAAGAAGTCGTTGAGGGCGAGTTGCAACAAAAATCTGATGGTGCACAACCTGCTAAATCGCCAGCAGCCAGTGTTCTACATCAGTTTTGCTTGAAGCACTGTGAATACAAGATTATTTGGAATATTACAATCCTTTCTCAGATCTATTCCACATGTAAGGAATTCATCTTGTGCTTTGCAAAATCATATTCAGCCTTGTTGGACGGAGGCTCTCTGAGGGGGAACGGATGGGGGTTGAATGTGCATTTATTACAGATGTAATTAACAATAGCATCACAATGGCATTAAATCATTCAGCTAAGTTTAGTTAATGATAGTCCAACGGTTTACCTGCCAATACGTGGTGGTAGCTAAACCTGTTAATAATCCCAATAGTTGTTGTTGCAATAAAAAGTTGTGCAAATTAAAGGCAGATTCCAAACACTGTAATGGGAGAAGTGAAGTATTTGCTGATTTCATGCAGAATTTTTTAAACGTCTGTAATATTTATGTAAAGAGTTTTTTGGCAGCTTTGATAAAAGCTGGAGGTTATCCAAAAAAATCATTTTAAATTGAGTCTTTCTGCATCAGCTTGCCTCGGTGCACACCTTCTTCCCTGTCGGTTTCTCTCTGGCAGTCTCTTCTCTCATGGGTGTCTGTTTATTCTATAGTCATGTACAGATACCCATTACTATCACTGGGTTGTATCTGCATGTTTGGATTGTGTGCATGAGTGTTCGTATCTGGGCCAGAGCACCTGTCACGTGGGTCAGCATGCTTTATACGCATTCACGTAACACGCCGAAGCTTTAAACGCTCATTTCATCCTGTTGCATTGCACATGTGCATTTGTGGGAATGAGATAATAGGCCATTTGTCGCCAGAGGGGAAGCTGTGACACTGTTTAGCAAGAAGTGAGACGATCACTTGTGAGATCCTTTGAGAGAGATGAGAAAGCAGCTCTTGCTCTCTGTGTTTTGATGGCTACCAAGGAGCAATGTTTTTATGCATTGCTTAGCTGAACCAGAGTCTCTGCTGCAGGGCAACAGATGACTTGGTTTGTTTGATCATAGTTCAGGATGGTCCTCATCACTAAAATCAAGTTATCACCATTAATGGCCACTCTTTCAGGTTGTTTTATGGGATTTTTAGAGTGCAATTGTATTAATTCAAATTCTACAATTTTGCCAAAAGGATCAGATGTTTAATTTTTAACCCATATTGTGATTTTTATTTAGATTTTTGCCTTTATACTAACCAAAAATCTTGTAATGTTTGATTTCAGGGTTTTAGTATTTTCATGACCGTGAAAGCCTGCTTCTGCAGAGTCTATTGTTGAAGGTTTCACTATAACCTCTGTGTAAAAAAGTTCCTAGTTCTACTTGCATGCATGTATCTGCATGCTAGCAATGCAGATACAGCAAACTTACTTTAAATATATTACAGCCACCTAAATGTCTTAGTTTTGTTAAATGCAATGTGACCTAAAATTAGTGTCTGTCATTTAAAAATTGTATTTTTCTAAATTGCATTAATATTGCACATGCAATTAATTGCCCAGCCTTAACTCAGACCCAGGATTCCCCAGTCTCTGCATCCCAGAATGGTCAAGCTGGTGATGTTTTATTTTGTGGCTCCTACAGGGTCTGGTTAAGTCTGGAAAATTTCAGTTTTTACTGAACTGTTTTTTCCAAGTTTGGCACAAAAAAACATAAACTGCATGTGGAAATAAAGTATTTTCAGACTTTAGTCCCATTATATAAAATAACTGTCTGTCTGAATGTCTGTCTTTAACAATGCTTTATCGTTTCTACAAAAACCCTTTCATCACTAACTGCCCAAAGTTATTTCTTCTCACATGATGGCTTTAATTTACATTCAGGTACTCACTGTTGAATTGGTTCCTAATGCATTTAAAGACAAAGATATAAATGTTTTTAGGTGTTGTGCTGCAGAGCGCTAATCTTTGATAAAGCACCTCCCGCTGTCCCATTTACACTGTTTGCAGGACAATAAAACATCTATTTGTGTTTATCGATTGATAGTTCTCTTTTGTCATAGCCTACATTAGAGGTTATTTGTCACATTGTCTGATGTGGGAGAAATAAACGACACGAGCTCATGTAACTGAGACCGGCCTGACGTCAAATCTCTCTCCTCCACAGAGCAGAGGGTGTTATTACAGAGGTCCATGCAACACATCTCAGAGCTAATGGTAGTTCATTTGACTTCTCTGACACAGTGTTTGTCTTTTCTTTGATTACTGCCTCTGATTTATGGTATTGTTGGCATGGCTGAGCTGGGTTAGTGTGGCTACTATTCTTGTTTCAGTAGCGGGAATGCAGTTCGGTCCCGGCCTCAGGGCGCCCAGACCACTGCGACAAATTGCAGGGGAATCCGGGAATTTGGGGGCAGGGAGTTAAATGATGTAATTTAACAATGTTTTAGCTACACTTTGTTTTTAGCCTCTAACTTACCACCAAACTGTCTTTTTTTTTTTTTCCTTCTGCATTCTGCCCTCTTCCTTTGCAAACCTTGCTTTCTTTCACCAAAAGTGCCTCTGCAGGAGTTATAAGTTGGAAATAGACG